GAATGAACCTGCAAGTGTGACAATATGGTCCCAACCGGGATTCGAACCCAGACCTTCTGCTGTGCGTAAATAGAGCAAGGTCCGAGGTCAAGCGCAGGTTTTACACTCTTACGTATAACGCACTTGTATAAAAGGTAGAATACGCCTTTGGCGTTAAACAAAATATATATAAGCAAGTAAACCAAATAAATACTGTAACATGTACCCTAAATAATACATACAGTACATTGATATTGATATATTAATGTATCTAATATTGATGTACCAGTGACAAATCAAACAACTGTGGATCAGAATTATCAACATTTTAAAGATACTGTAGATTTTTTTTTATCAACGCAGCGTTATCGGTTTGCATCATGACAAAAAAGGGAATCTTAATGTGAAATATTTGATAAAATGTGAGAAACTGCTAAGGGAATATGTTACTTTGTTTTTTGTGTTTTTTTTGGTGTTTTTTTTGTTTCGTGTAAGATACTGTAAATCACCTTTTCTGTGACTTAATTAACATATGTTTCAATGTTTCAACAGGATCCAGGGTTTTCGTAATTCTGTCTGTAAACTGAAGTCCAAACTGTAAACATGATATTATTATAGGTTCATGACTAAACTGACTCAGCTTACAGATTCAATTCAATGTAAATTTCAGTAAACAAACATAGAGAACATATATAATAAATAACAATAAATTAAATGATCTATAAGGCATTGACACATCGACGGAGCGATACGGGCGACATAGAAACTCGAGTTTGTCTCTTTGTCACCCACCATCAGAGTACTGTGGTAAAATCTAGGAAATAATTTTAATGTATGTTGCGTATATGGTATACACATGGACCTATTTTTACATTATATTTTATAACCCTGCTAATCAACATACATAAATCTACAATGTGCATGCGTCAATAATGATATTTTGGTATATAAAGCGAACTCCACGTAGCTAGCTGCTCCTTTCATCAAAAAAATTGATTTCAATAAAAGTTGCCGTCGTGCTATTTGTACATCTGCGGTATATACCTCACTTCCTGTCCTGTAGTAACTGTTGATTAACTTGATCTGTCGTAATAGTCATAACTCGACAAAATTAGACACGATTCTGCCCCCCTAAAACAAAAGTTCACAGTACGAAACTGACTTCTAATTAGAATACTATGATTTTATCATCTTATCATTTGTATCAGATAGATGACGTCAACCAATGACGTCATTAATTTTTCACGGCACCTTGGCGTTGGGTGGTGAGGACATGAGAATAAAATATAATTTGTGATCAAATTGGACAAAAATACAAACAATAAGTTTAGTTAGAGGAACTGGAATCAAACATTTCATGGCTATAAATCACTTTGTTGAGGAAGGTAACATATATTTTGAGATTTTGACTTATCCTATTAGCTTCTGTTGATTTAAAAAAAAAATGAATAAATAAGTAATTCAAGCAACATCATTTAGTTTTCTTAATCTTATTATCTTTACAATCACTTTTAATCGAAAATACCCAATATACAACCAAATTTTAATTTTCTTTACTACTAACGACTTTCCAATGTGTACGATATGGAACGCCACAACTAACTACGGATGCATTCTTAACAACATGCGTCCGGCAAAATATTTTGATTTTCCCCCAATTATACTAAATTAGGCCTTTATACAATAATCACTTTCGTTTCTTTTCAGAGGCTTACTTTTATTCCGATATATCGAGTTTGCATACCATGATTGTCTTGATGGTTTTGTATTAATTTTATGCATTGGTTTTTTTATGTAAAAAAAATAAATAAAATTAACAACAGATTTCGTTCTTAAATGTGTAAGACGAACATGATTTTAAAAATCTAAAATTTGTAAGTCGTGCGGATAAGACGACCCCAGATTTTCGATCGTAATTTGCTATTTCAAGTCTCGTTTATATGCGGGTATGTACGGTGAGGGCTCACTGGAAAATAACATAATTTAATATTACGAAATTGAGTTTTAATGTATTGAATTGCGTTATAATTGAAATGCGTCAGAATATAGGCCTATCGAACTACATCATAGTGTATTGGGAGTTATAGGCCTAATAATATATTAAATTGCATTTTAATGTATTGAATTAAGTTAGAAATGATTGAATTGCTTAAATGATAAAATTGCACGATTAAAAGAGTATGCTGCAGTCTATTATAATATACTGTAATAATAAAATGAAAAATGCAATGAGCTTATCTGAATTGCCTATTGTGAAAGAATTGCTGACCCTGTATTCCAAAGGGGGCCGGATAGATAGTTCTGAAATATATTAACAGATATTATTCTCCTGATGACGATTAAACCAACTAAATCGAAACGCCAAGACATTCTCAACAAAACAACAGTTCTTTTCAGAAATATCTACGTGGTGTACCGCAAGCATTTAATATATAATTGAAATTATTATTAAGGTAAATGTAAGGTTTTGAAATCATAAAGAGCTTTATATATCTATATATTTGTACATGTTTATGTTTGTGTTCTCTCCACCTGATAAATATGTTGATTTTGTTAATGCATAGTTATCTGACATACGTAAGTACATGCAGCGTTAAATTAGAGGATGCAATAATAGAGATGTGCCCAACAGCATTGTTGTACAATCACAGAAAATGCTATGTTTAACATTATACACAAACACTTTGATAAAATCCACCATAAATGGCATTTTTAAAAGGTCTACGGAACTATTTATAGACTCTTAATAGGAAACACGTATAATGGAGACCAGCATATGGAGAGGTGATGTCATTCCAAATGTAACATGAATCCATTGTTAAAATACTTAAATAAAAAAGTTGGTATCAAAAGGCTTGTGTTACAGTATCTCTCGTTTTGTCGAAAATACCCTTGACCAAAGGATTATGAGCTTATCTGGTTTGTTATTTACTAATGTTAATAATAACTAGCTCATTTTTACATTCATTTGGTGATCTGCCATTTTGGCATTGGTGCTCTGCCATTTTGGCAGGTCTTATGGCATCCAGTATTTTAGAGCTGCCTATTCTCAGCTCTATTCTTAATTTGAAAATAACTGTCATTCTGTTTCATTTGATCAGTGATGAAAAAAAACGCGAAGTTTCCTTACACTTTGTGCTTTTCCCAGAAAGCGTTTTTAGTGGGCCTACTTGTAGGCCTAGGTAATTATGCAAAACCCAGGCCTAACTAAAAAATTAAAATTGTCATAATATGTAACTCAAGTTAAAATAACACTTTTCATT